GGTCACCAAACATGAGACTCACAAAGTTGTTTGGGTGGTGTCCATCAACAGACATGGCCCACATGAGAAAGTTTCCTCCTTCCTGCGCTGACTTGGCACACTCGTGGGTGGCTGGGTCGTGAGTGCTGCCAAAATTGTGGCCTACACAAAAATGACATTGGTCATAAAATCTGCTCCATGATGCAGAAGGAAAAAAGACACAAAAAAACCCAAACTTTACAGCTAAAGTACTCAATTGAAGTTGTTAAAAAATAATAAATTGCAGAAAAACAGCTTCAATTTTAGCCAAATAATGAGATAAGAATTGTGATTTCAAATTAATTCAGCATAAAATTCAACACAAATCAAGACATTCTACAGCTGTCAGTTAACTGGAGCCAAATGTATGTCGATAACACTGAAGACGCACCAAGTGTTTCATATTTTAAAAAGCAAATATATAATTTCAACAATTCCTAAAAATGCTGTTTGCGTGATATGCTTTTATATATGTAATAATAATAAATAGCATTTATACCGCGCATTTCCATTTCCTAAAAGATGCTCAATGCGCATTACAATGAAAAAGACATCACATCTTAAAAATTAATCGACACAAATGTGTGCGTAAAACAAAGTATTATACAAATAATATAAATGCATAGGTGTAAAATTTTATACCAGAAAAACAGTCTCGCAGTGATGTTGAAAATGTGTTCACTAAAAATATACAATGCAATAAAAATTCACGAACAGTCAAAATAAAGTTGAAACGTGAGTAACTAGAAACATTCACTAAAACATTAATTCTATACATATAGAAAAACATTTCCGTTCTCTCTCTCTCTCTCTCTCTCTCTCTCTCTCTCTCTCTCTCTCTCTCTCTCTCTCTCTCTCTCTCTTTCTCCCTCTCCTTCTATCTCTCACTCTTTCTCTCTCCCTCTCTCGCTATCTCTCTTTTTTCTCTCTCTTTTCTCTCTCTATCTCTCTCGTTTTCTCTCTCTCATTCTCACTCGCTATTTCTTCAGTCTCACAGTCTGGCATACACATGCATATACATGTATATCACAGTACATCATTATGACAGGTATGCTTTTGTGAATAAAAAATGCTTCAGCTGATTTTTGAAAATGGAAATTGTTGGGGCAGATCTTATTTTATATGGGATTTCGTTCCATACCTGGGGACCAAAGAACAAAAAGGAACGCTCGCCGTATGTTTTGTAATTTTGTTTTGGAGTTTTAAGATTTAGATTGTCAGAGGCTGATCTAAGGGCTCTAGGTGGATTATATAATTCCAGGAATGATTTAAGATAAAAAGGTGCACTATCATTTATACATTTAAAACAGAGAACGGCAGTTTTGTATTTAATCCTTTCTTTTATTGGCAGCCAGTGTAGTTCTTTCAGAATTGGTGTTACGTGGGCTGATTTCTTTTGTTTCATTATCAATTTTGCTGCTTGATTTTGGAGCACTTGTAACTTTGATAGTTTTTCGGCAGTCACACCGGACAAAATAACATTACAGTAATCTAACTTTGATAAAATGAGTGTTGTTACAAGGGTCTTGGCTGCTGCTTTAGTTAAATAATTTCTTACACTGCCAATTTTTTAAAGCTGAAAGTAAATGCTTTTGCTGAGCTGGCTTATTTGGGAGGACATAGACATATCATAATCCAACTGAACCCCTAGATTTTTAAAACTTCTTTTTGAACGAATGGTATGGTTATTAATATCAATTTGTAGCTCTGGGAGATTTGTAATGGCTTTTGTATTTCCACTCAACATTATTTCCGTCTTGTCATCATTTAGTTTCAATTTATCGCTGGTCATTCATATTTTTAAATTTCTAGTACATTGTTCTGTAGAGTCGACTAAAAGTGGTATTTGATCGAAATCAATAGACTTATAAATTTGAGTGTCATCAGCATAAAGATGGTAATTCATACCATATTGTCTTAAAATATCAGCAATATGTTGTGTATACATTGTAAACAAGACAGGTCCAAGAACAGACCCCTGAGGAACACCACATCTAAGCAAAACATTATTAGAACACGTGTTTCCAACCACAACTGCTTGTGTTCGATCCTTAAAATATGACTCAAACCATCGCAGGACAGTACTTACCCTTTATGCCAAAAGTAGTATTTAATCTCTCGAGTAAAATATGATCAATGGTATCGAATGCAGCCGAAAGGTCCAAAAGAGTAAGAAGACATACCCTTTTTTCATCAATATATTTTAAAATATCAGTACAGACCCAAAGTACTTACCATGTATAAATATATTGTATATGCATGTGGTCACAACAGAGACAACCAAAATTAACGAATAAAATATTTTAAGGCAAACTAAAATAAAAAGTGTTACCTCACTGATCACCCAGAAAAAAAAATATAAAAAGCCAATTTTCCAACATATGAAGCAGAAAAAAATTAGAGCATAACAGAACTGTTTACATACCAAGCTCTGAAACAGTATCCAAACATTGCAGTTTAAATTATTGTTTACACATAATATGGTAGATCTACACAGATTTATGCATGACATTATATCTCCAAAATGACCCGAAAATATGGGGGCATGCATCAATTTCCAATGCATACTTCACAATTAATTCCTATCTATTAGAATACGAGTAAAAAAACTTGCCAGACATTTTTAAAAGTGTAAATTTCAGGAAAACTAATTTTCCTTATGTTTAATTGACCAGTAAGCAACAAGCTTAACAAATACTTGGAGGAAGCTGCCCTTATAAAAACACAATAAACTACCTTTATTTAGAATCTTAAAACCTTCAAAAAGCATCCAAAAATTCTTGGCTCTAATTCTTCAAGAAGTAAGTCTCCAGAACATTCATACTTCACACTATAAGTTTGAAGCAACCTCTTTAAAACAGCTTTCATACATGCCAGTCTAACTTTTAAAAACTTTTACTACTATATAATAAAATTATATCTTACCAACTGAATAATGATCTCAAAACAAGGTGGGATGGGGAGGTGGGATGTGTTAATCCATGCAATACTAAGGTGATTTTAATCCATTAGGAGATCAATATAGAAAACCCCTGCGAGTCTCTGTAGTTTCCAGATATGAAACAATCCGCCCCATACATCAAGCACGCACTTACCATGAGTGAAGATGAGATTTACATGCAGCGACGACAACGAGTATCCCATGTGTGTGAAGGTTGACGTCCAACCTGTGTTGTAAGCCACCAGATTGCTTCCCCTGCCTGCATATCAAGCAACAAGAAACAAAAGTGGGATACTGAGACATAAGAATGAAAGATACAGGCACAAATGTTTTAAGAATAATATGAATTTTGATGAATTTTTAAAACTTTAGTCTTTGAAAGAAACTGAATGCACACAAAGCCCAGCCTTTCAAAACACAATGAAAAACAGATTCCACTTTGTGCGTTTGCACTATTTTTTAGAGAGAACAAATTCTAGATCTAGATCTAGTAGCAGTAGACTATCAGGTCTCCTCAAAGCTGTCCTCAGCTCACAAAATTCTATAAATAGTGTAGAATTCTGTTCATCAGCCTCAGTTCTCTTCAAGAGCAAAAGCAAAAGAAAAAAACTAATTTATTCATTTAACTTTTCCTGAAATAAAAACCCCTCAAGCAAACAGAGCAAAAGGTTTTGTTTTGGGTCTTTTTTTTATCAAGTATTATATATATATTCATCAATAGTGATATGAATGCTTCCATAGGCCTATATATAGTCGAACCTGCCTAAGCGGAAACCTGTGTAAAACGGAAACATGTCTTAACGGAATATCTCCGTTCCCCCCTTGATATACATGTATTCCTCTTTAATTACATGTACCTGTATAAAACGGAAACCTGTCCAACGCAGAAACGGAAAGAAAAATCCACTCCCTTCCGAGGGTTTCACCTGTCTAAGACGGAAAATGCTTTGCCCGCTCAGCCCAGATTTGAAACGGAACTCGCAAGTTTGGTTCCGCCGGCTCTGAACACCATGGCCATGCCGCTGGGCGAGGAAGGGGAATAGGGGTGCAATTTGGGGGTAGATGTTACCCATCATGTGAGCCCTGAGCGATACAGCAGATGGTCAGTGTAGTGTGGGTGTGAAATCTCACGACTGCCCGTGAGAGTGCTCGAGTAGCGAGCCACAACGGAAACTTTCCTAGGTAGCCAGAAGCCAGAGGTGTGAAATTAGATTGACCAATGCCTGCCGCCTTGATCGTACGACCAGCCGAGAAAAGAGTTCCTCGAATCGTTGTTACAACGATGGCAGTGAGGGGTGGCATTGGTGGGTGGGGCTAAGGGTGGAAGCAAATGAGATGTTCAAACCTTTCTGTTTTTAATAGGTCAAACAGTGGTCCTATGAAAGGCAAGCACTGGTGGTAATTGGATACGTTAGACTGACGCATGTCATTATCAGACAGAATAGCAGCTGCGAGGTGTGAAGTCTTGACCACTGCTTGCCGATCGGACAAGCGATCCTTGATCCCTCCGCCGCTGGGCCTTTGACCCCCCCACCTCCACCTCCCCCCTACATTCCCCTGTCTAAGACGGAAAATGTTTAAGACGGAATTTTTTTCCCGCTCCCTTGCGATTCTGTCTTATACAGGTTCGACTGTATATATATATATATATATATATATAAATATATATATATATAATATATAGATCTATATATTATATACTGATAAAGATTGTTAGCATCCAAAGAGGAAAAGAAATAATTATGGCCTTGCGTTAATTTGCTCAAATTCGAAAATTAACTCTTTATCCCCGGCAAGAAGCTCCCAGTGGCTTGCGGTCGGAACCACTCTGCCAGTGAGCGCACTTTCCTGTTCCTTTACGACGACATTGACATCAAATTACTTTTCCGCAATTGCCGAAAACAGGTTTCTTATACCGGAAGTTCAATCATTAGATAAAGAACTATCAAAATAGGTTTGCTAGTTTAGATTTAATAACCCATTTAATGACGTTTTTGTCAATGTTTGATTTAGCGCCAAAAAAGGGCCCCCGCGTAGTGGGTTTACCCCCCTGGAAGATAAAGAGTTAAGCGAGTTCGGAAGTTTCAGGCGGCCAAAGTGACGAACTTTCACAAATATGATAGATGATCGTAAACGCCGACGCCAGACCACATTCGTCTCAGATGGCAGCACCTTGCCCGTTCCTATAGTGGTGAGCACACCAGAGCCGATCTGAGAAAATAAGGAACTAACTCCTGTGGGCCATTTTGAGTTTTCGTTCTTTTCTGAAATCTATGATCGTTAAAATTTCCCAACTACATTGTATCTTTTCTGGAAGCATAGATATTGCATTTTGAAGTAACAAAACCCGAAAAAGGACTGGAAAAATATTTTAAAGTGATTTTTTAAAACAACAAACAGCTCTTGAATTATTTTCGTATAGGCCTATAGTTGAGTATCACGGTATGCATAACTCAAAATCAACCAGAACTGATCGACCTCATCGACTATTTTTGCTGATATCTTGGTTCGATTTTTTGGTGAAAAGTTCCGGCCTTCATCAGACCCGCTCACATATGTAAACATGAACTATTTACTGTATTGTACTACTACAATGTCACAAACAAATAAGTGGCGTCGGTAGCCTAGTGGTTAGGCTACCGGACTCGTAATCGTGAGATTGCGAGTTCGGGGGTTCGAGCCTCAGCTCGGTCCGACGTTGTGTCCTTGGGAAAGGCACTTTACACGAACTTCCCACTTGGCTCGGTCCTATCGGACACGGACGTTAAACTAGGAGGTCCCGCCCTTTAAATAACCTAACAGTGTTGATAGGGGTATGAAACCTATACCATTTTCACCATTTTTTTCACAAACAAACAGCCTTACGTCCGCAGATCCCTGTATTGCTGGACTGGCTCACCCACGCCAGGCCCATCACCCCACCAGAGAAGGCATAGGAGGTGAACAGATGAGTCAAACAGAAGTTGATCAACGAGATTTTAGACGCCATGCCTAACGCCTGGTTGAATAACACACAAAGCAACAAAACTGATGATAGTTATAGCAAAAGACGTTACATTTTATAAATTGCATCTTTTGACACACTTTCTACGAACTTCATAGCAGAATTCCTTCATACTGCGGAATCAGGACAAAAGTAAATTTTACTGAGTGATTAGACAAAGGCCCAAGACACTTCAACAATGATAAACGACTGTAAAAAGTAAAACGACAGCAAGCATAGCAACAGCGTTCTCAAAGAGAATGAAAATATCTGGCTATGAAAACAGAACTATTTGGGAGAAAAAAACCCACAACCTGCGTTAGTAAATTGTATATCAAAACCTTTCAGCTTAAGCAGCTTCCCGCTAAACGGTAACGTTACATCATTGTCTCAAAATTTTCGTCCAATTGTTAAACTTTAACAGAACGGGAGATTTCCTTGTCCTTCTCCTCAGCATTCTCCAGCTAGTCTCAATAGTAGGCCTAATCCAGTGCTTCAAACTACAGTGTAAGTCTGTAAACTTTTATTTTACAGGGTCCTTTGAGGGTGCTCTTAATTCTTTAAATTAATAAGTAGAGTGTTTTTAGACCTTTACTGATTTTCAGCTTTGGCCAGGCACAGACTGTCAAGGCAGGCCTGCTTCTCTTTGACTTGCTTCTTTAAAGGTTCAAATTATTTAATATACGTGGCATGCACATATCTTGTCATTCTTACTTTCTTGCAGAATAGACAAAGTGTTTCATCAGAGGCCGCAAAAGCTTGATAAAGAAGAAGTCGAAAAAGTACATTAACCACGCCTGCATGAGGAAGCCCAGCATTGAAAGAGGTGTTTTGGGTGAGGGTGGGGCACCTTTTTAAACTTATTCTGGGACAGAAGGGCAAAGCCCATCATCCACCTGAACAATATATAACAACAGTAATAATTTCTCCTGAGCAAGAAGAGAAAAACGAAACAAACAAAGAGCTACACGTCAATTCAAGAAGAAAAAAAGTTTTAAGCGTCTCAACTTTTTAAAAAAATTGGCACCGTGAATGAGGAGAAACAAAGGGGAATATAAAAATATACAATCTTTCACTGCAAGTATTGCAAAAATGTGCAAAATTATGAAGGTTTAACATCTCTTGCAAAACTGTAATTTTATTTAAAAGAGGCTGGATCTCCAAAATTAATCTTCGTCTCAACTACAATCTAGCCAAATCGGAAAAATTTGAGTAAAGTGCCTGGAACCTCGCCAAACCTTCACAATTACAAGTTCTGTAGCCTAACCATTAGATTTCTAAACCACAGTAAAAGTATAGTATACTGAACCCCCCCATAAATGTACTCCTTAATAAAAACAACATGTTATAATTTAACAGAAAGAGAGGCATAGTTTCAAGCATCTGTAATTTTAAGTCCACTCACCTTGAGTTTAGCTTGAGGTGTCCAAGCGATACCTTCATCATTGAAGTGTGCTTTCTCCATATGAAGCGGATCTGCGTCATTGTACGATGTGTAGATCTGTATCTGTTGAGACAATCAAAAGCTTGACACACGTAATAATAATATTTTATATTAAAACTTCCACCTTGCTTTACATCACTGTCAGAGTGCGGTAATAGTGGCACAACAATCAAAATTACCCTGACGATAACGATAACTGCAGGAGCAATATCACATCTTTAAGGCCCAAATAAAAGGATCAACCCATGTACAGTAAATATAGTTCTAGACGGCCACCCATTGTCGAGGAAGAACGTTATCATGTAAGACAGGTGGTCCTCTTGGACAGTGTCATAATAAAAGATATAGAAAAAAAAACATAATAAGAGGGAAGTCGGAAGTATGCAGTGGTTGTTTGTGCAGATGATTGTCTTTGACAGGTGGTGGTTAGAGCAGGTCATTTGTAGTTGACAGGTACAATTACATGTCAAATCAGTCCTACTCACTCTTAAAGTGGTACATTCCAAGTATTTTGATATACTACTCTTCACGTTTTTGTTTCAAATCCATGGAAGTAAGGTTCATAGCAATACGAAAGGTAGATCATTTATTCACCTCAAATGCAGATACAGTGATAATGTTTGTGACATAAGCAGCCTGTAACCATCAACAAGCCAGGGTGGAAAACATGTGCAGCTGACACCATAGTGTCTTCTTAATTTTTCTCTCTCATTTCTCTTTCACCTACAAACACATACACAAAAACACATGTTCGCTTGCATATTATGCGCAAGCATATTCAAATAGCATTTTTTTTCTCTCATTACCAACATCCGCCCGCCTAAATTATACAGATTATCTGTTCAATGTGAAGCCTAAAATTGTCATTTTTTTCTTTACCATCTACTTATCCTCTTCTCTACACTCAAATTGACAGCACACATAAATAATGAGTATAAACTACACCACCAAAACTACATAACAAAATTGAAAACTGATGTCAATACATCCATGGCTGAAGGTGATCAGAAAGCATTACAGTCAACATTGTCTAAGACGGCAACCCAGTGTCACAAGGAAAAAAGTAGTTTTAGAAGACAGGCGGACAACATAGACAATGTCATTTTGATATTTAAAAGACTCAAGGGGGGGGGGTGGAAAGTGGTCATTTGTACAGGTTATTGTCTTGGACAGGTGGTCGTGTTGTTGTATTTGTTGTTGTTGTTGTTGTTGTTGTTATTGCTGTTATTGTCGATCCAGCAACAGCTGGGCTCTCGCCCTTCAGTACCATGCCATGTAGTGATAAGGGAAGGTTTGCTGCAGTTGCTGTAATGTTCCATAGAGTGTGTTGTCAATGTTGTTAGGTCTCAGAGGGAGAAGGTTAGCTCGGATGTCAATTAGAGCTGTGTAGTGGAACAGGTGATGATCCAGTCTCATATGTATAGCCACACAAGGGACACATTGGTGGAAGTTCTGGATTTATTCTGTTCAAGTGGAAGTTGAGCAGTATTATGTTCAGTTCGTAGGCAGAAGATCGTGGTCTGTTTCTTTCTCTGAAAGTGGATGATATTGTCGTTCCGTTTTGTTGTGGTCTCATTATGTTTGAAGTTTGAAAACTGCTCTGCCTGTCTTTCCCAAGGCCTGTCTGTTCATCCAATCTTGCTTGTTGTTGCTTTTAATGATTTGTTTTGCAGTGTTGTATGACGTTGGAATGTTGGGTTGCTCCTGTCTAGATCCCCGTTTGGTAAGTGTGTCTGCTCTGTCTTTTCCAGGTATGTTTGAGTGTCCGGGGACTCACTGCATCACCAGGTTGACGCCACAGGATGTTATCAGGTGATGGGAGTCAAACAAGGAGATTAAAAGTAAGTTCTAAACTCCTTGGTGTCAAACAGTATATGTGTCAAATCTTGGTTTAGATGATGGTGATTTTCTATCACTTACAAGACTGAATATAGCGAGTCAGTGAAAATCCCAATACTCTGAGCTTTTTCAGGATGAGTGTCAAATACTGTGCGGAGATGATACAGTGCTGTTTTAATTGCCATTATTTCTGCCTCATAGTAGCTGCATTTCTCTCCACAGGCTGCAGAGATCTCATTGGGACTTCCATATGGGTACTGTATTAGTATTCCATATCCGGTGTCTTTGAATGCTGAGCCGCCTGTATAGATGTGTATCCAGCCATCTGAATAGTTTTTGATTGTTTAGTGTGATGGAAGCATCAGCCTCACTGGGTCTGAAGATTTTGTGCTATTGTCCCTGAGAGGTGTTGTAATGATAGGCTTTTTTTTTAAAGATGGGGAGGGATGCTTTGATTAACTCTTTTGGTTTCTTTTCTGGGGTTTTTGGTAGATGGTGACTCTCCCTTCTAGTACTGTGATGTGATGCATGACTGATTTTTGTTGAATTCGTTTCTTTGGTTTATATGTTTCTACTAATTTTCTGTTTGGGTGGTTGGGGCACATTCTTTTGGTTCTTTTATATATATATATATGTGTGTGTGTGTGTGTGTGTGTGTGTGTGTGGGTGTGGCTCCAAAACTGCTTTATCTCTGCGGATTCCCAGGGGTTCAACATTTGAAAGGATTTCACATTCAGCAGTAAATGTGGTTCTCATGCCACCATTTATGAAATGAAGGGCATTATTTTGGACCTTGTCAATGGTGTTGCAAGTAGTTGTACTGCACATGGTGAGTAGGCAATTTCTGTATTCCAGGGAAGATCGGACATAACCAAGGTATAGAGCTCCCAGAGTTCTGGTGGTCGTTAAAGCAGACTTGACTGCAGTTTTAAAAAATAACAGTCTTATCAAAGTACAGTCCAACCTGCTCTGACGGTCACCTATATGAGACAGTCACTGTTCAAAAAGCCACTTCCCATGTCCACTCTTTGTATTTTTTATATTCTAATGACCCTGGGCAATATAATATAGCCAGGTTTCTGCTGGACAACGTGCTGCTGTCTTAGACGGCTTCAACTGTAACTGACCAATGACGTTCATGGAACACACCTCGACCACCTATAATACACTTTTTTTTCGTAAGGGCATCATATAAATTATACTACAGACAGAAAAATCAGCTTCTAAAAGTGTATTTAATAAATAATGGGATTCAGGACTAAAAGAATTAAACAAGATGTATTTGCCAAGAAGTAACAGACCATCCCTAGTTGCAGACGCACACCAGAGACGATGTCTCCATTCTTTTTCACAAACTTTTGCCTTCTGTATATGGTGTCAGCAAACTGAATAAAATCTATCTGAAAAGAAAGAGAACAACTTCAGTGATTCATGAGGCATTACCATAATTTATCTTTATTTTCGGTCAAACAGATACATGTAGCATGGTAGCAACGTGTTTAGCTAAGGCACCAAACTGCTAGTAGAGCTGCACTTGGTATAGTCAAACAAATTAATCTCTTTTAAACACAAACAAATATTGCTTTGAAAGGGAAGAAACTAGTTTTAGTTTAGTTATAGTTGTAAAAGTTTTATAGCCCTTTGAAATCGAATAGAGGTCATACGTATTGCCGAAAAATACAGGTGTTACTAAAGGGTAACATTACAGAAAAGAAGAAGGCGAGATAAGGATTATAGATATTTGACAGGAAAGAAGGGGGTTTTTGCGAGAAAAGCCTTAAATAGCAAGCAAAGACTTACCCTCATCGTATTCATCAACAGGCTCAGCAAGTAGTTACATGCATATTATGGATTATTACCTTTACTTGAGTCTGATTTCAACAGACTGAACTGAAAACATATCATGTTTGTCTATCTATCTTTACCAACGTCAACCTTTACCAACGTCAGTATGACATATGATTTATTAATCTCACAAGTGTTGGGTGTTTATATTGATGTATGACAGGAGAGTGGATTCACATTGCTTGCTTCCACAAAAGCACTTATATAAAGACACTATTTAAAGCACCAAAGACACTAGATAACTACAATGAGCTGTCCCGCCAAGAACAAGTAATTATCTTCAGACAAAGAACACTACACACAAGACTCAGACAACACGTATACATATGTTTTAAACTTTAATCTATACTACAATCACCAAAATGCCAGTGTGGAAAAGTGGACCAAGCAGTGGAACACATCCTTCAGCAGTGCAAGACACACAGGGCCCGGAGACCAGAAACATGGCCAACCTCAATGACACTACAAGAGAAGCTGTACGGACTGATAAAAGAACTGAGCAGCATGGCCCAGTGTATGACAGGTAACGGGCTTCAAATGTGAAGCAATCTGTTTTCCCTTGAAAGTCGGCAGTACTATCAGACAAATATGGGAATGAATCCATTTCTCCATGCCACAATTAGTAAAGTCAAACACCTATCCAAAAACTATAATGTTGCACTCACTTATAAGAACAAACTTCACATAATGCATTTGCAAGCAAATTACTTCCTTATGTGTCGCACTTACTATTGTCGAGGCACAATTTATGTAGGATCCTTTACACCATCCTTTGAAAAAGTCATAGTCTCCAATAGCACAAATCAAGCAGGTTGTACGTGGTTTGGTTTTACTTTCATCTCTCTTCTCTCGTTCTTCACTCTTTATGTCATCAACACCTAAAAGAAAGCCAGACATTAAAATCAAAAATCATTTTAATTGCTGACAAAAATCAAAGCTTGCTTCAAAAATTTAATAATTAACAGCTGTTCTCAAGTGTGTACACACACCCACTAAATATAATACTGAGCCGCTAGCATTGAGCAATCGTAATCTAGGCTTAGGTCACAATGCTGATAAACATGGGTCAACAAGATCAGCTAATGTGACACAATCGCCTGCAAATATAAAATGAGTACGCCTACTGAGAATGCGATTTAATTCATCTTTCAAAGTGAGTTGTAAAATTACTTTACGAATATTATATGAGCAAGATTTTTTTCTCGAAGAAGACAAAAACAATGACATTTACTTTTACTTTTACTTTTCCGATCCAGCAGGCATCTGAGTTCTATCCCGTCAGCCTGACACAAAGCATACAAAAGCAGATACATGTATATCAAGATGGGTTGTTTTTTTTTTACCTTCGGCACAGATGTCATCATTTTCCTTTTCATTTTGTTTGCATTCTTCAACATCATCTTCATCATCACAAGCTCTGCTGTAGACAGAAATGAAAAAAAAAGATTTACGTTCAAAACAAAAGCAGAATGTTTTCACACAAAAAATTAAGGTGCTCTCTTGAATGTGACAAAACAGTTTCACTCCTCAAAAACATTTTTACAACTATTGGATAATTCTCTGTATCTGAATACAAGTGCAGGGACTGTCCCAATTGTAAGTTGAAAATTAACATAATTTCAAAAAGTAAAAAAGCCTTTGTGCAACCTGTAAACAAGATGCAAAAGTTATTATACACACGTCTCCTATCAACACTATTGGATTATTTAGAAGGCGGGACCTTCGAATATAACTATTGTCTCTGATAGGACCAAGCCAAATGGGTTGAGAGCCTAGAAAATTGCACAAAACGATGGGAGTTCAAGAATGCCCAGTCTGGGATTCAAACCAAGGCCACCCGCGTCGTAGCCCAGCATGATGCAAAACAAAGTTCATGGAGCGCCCTTTCTGAAATGGTCCTGTACTAATATAAAATATATTTGATTTCTAATTCTTATCTCTAGAACTCTTCCATGTGTATCGCCTCCTTTGTTGAATTTCAAGTCAGGTATAAGAAATAATGAAATGCCAAAATACCGCTTCAATAAAATAGAACTACTATCAATAAATACTCAAGTTTGTCTTATATTCTAATAATTCTAGTAATTTATTTTGACAATTCTACGACTGCTCATATCAACTTTTTATTTGTCACTTCACATTATCTGTTCTCATACGAAGACCTACTCCACACTGCTGCTTTTTGAAGTGAAAGAGAAAGCAACGAATCTTCTGGGAACATCTGAAACCTTTCATTTCTAAATCTTCTACTCTACTAGTAAGTAGCCTCTTTACACACTGTAGAAACGTGAAATCCTCTACCTGTATGGAGCTTGTGACAGTTTGACATCAAGATCGGAGACACGGTACACAACCATTGTATCCTCCAAGCTGCCATAGTCCTCGGCAAACCTCCATGCTGGCTAAATAATACAAGAAAGAAACATTTTGACAAAGAGCATGCCAGTTTTCAAGTTTATCCCGTCTTCCACACATCTGAGAACAGTGAATACTTGTAGAGAATTATATATCTGAGGAAAGGAGACAAAGTAAAACGGTGGAATGCCAAATACCAATACCTGCCTTGTTGTAGGGACATAACAAAATTTGTCCAATTGAACAAAATTAGTCCACAGAAAAACTAAAACATCTCCCCATACTGCATTGTCTTTGCCCCTAGCCCGTCAACAATAAATATTATCTTCAAAAATAATAAAATGTTCACCTCAACCGCATAGATATCTCCATCAACCAAGATCTTGATTGACCACAATGAGCCTTCCTTGTGAGCAATGACTTCACCATCTGGATTACCTATCGAATAAAGGGGGAAAACTTAGAGTAAGAAATCATGTCAGTGTCAATTTAGAGGGTGGGACAAATCAATCACATAAAGGAAGAAAATTTTCCAGCTGAAATAAATTTTTCAGGCTGAAGACGTTTTATCAGTTATACAAGGGCAGGTTCAAAATCCCTCTTTCGTTTATTAAAGAGACTATCAAGTGTGAGCCAAACAACTGGGAAATTTTGTTCAAGTACTACATACCTAATATGCCTAGATCAATTAAACAAAGGAATGTGTGTATGTCTGTGTGTGTGTGTGTGTGTGAGAGAGAGAGAGAGAGAGAGAGAGAGAGAGAGAGAGAGAGAGAGAGAGAGGGACCATATGTTTCTCATGGGTTTTGTTCACTTTGGTTTCTTCCTGTTAGTTTTATGGAGTAAAAGCACTAGGCCTACTTGCATTATCTATTTTTAAAAAAGAAAGAATGAAATAAGTGTCATATCAATGAACGATACAACTTACATGATAGAAGTGGTGACCCAAGAACATTCATCAAACTTAAACTGTTTCCATTTAATCAGAGACAGAAACTTCATCACAGCAGAATCTGGACAGCTTACCATCCAAGACTCCAGTGTAAGTGTTTGTATGATCGACGTGAAATATGGAAGAGCTGCCATCCTTATGAACAATAACTGCCTGAAAGTCATTGGCCAGTACATAGGCACCTGGTTTCAACACCAGTTGAAAGCTCCTGAAGAAACGAAAGTTATCTTTATAAACAATCCTGAAAGTAAACATTTGCATTAAGGAAGGTTTAGAAGAACAGCCTAATCTCTGCTAAGATTTAAATACCTAATTTCAAACAGTCATACATAAATTCAATTCAAGGCCTAAAATATTGCACTATAGCTGCCATAATTTAACATACTGTGTTTGGAAAAAAACCTTATTAGCATCATTAAAATATCAAAACTTCATCATACGTCTAATTATGGCCATATAAAGAGCCAAGTGCTCTATGAACAACAAGTTAATACAAAATAAATAATCATCTTACTTGTTGAAAGCACCAAAATGAACAAACTTGATGGCTTCAGTGTCATCGTCAGATCTTTTGTGCCTGACAGTCAGGTCCTCACTACTGAGAGTTTCAAAATATTTCACATGTGGGATACCGCTAGGAACTGAAAAAAGGAAAACAGATGGCATTTCAAAACAGATGTTTTTCACTCCCTGAAGTCACAGTTTATTTATAGGCCTACTAGATCTAGACTAGGTTCTGAAAAAGATTAAATCGGATATTCCACCTCTTCTGTACAATGACGATGAAAGGGGAATTGAACTGTTAATTACTTTCATTCCAGTGTTACTAGTTAACTAGATCTATCATTAGTCACCAGTTACAGAAACAACGACCAAGGAACAATTTTTCAGCGTGAGGATATGCTTTTATACCAAATGCAGTACTGGTTAGATGCGTGCGAGTGTGGTTGTGTGTGTGTGTGTGTGTGCGTGTGTGTGTGTGTGTGTGTGTGTGTGTGTGTGTGTGTGTGTGTGTGTGTGTTTGTGTTTGTGTTTGAGTTTCGGGAGGGGGGGATTGACCGTATTTGTGTAGGGGGGAATTTAAAGGGGTGGGGGGTGAGGGTTGAATCTTTGTCAAATCAAGCTCGAAAGGAAGTTCACAGTAGTAAAACAAATGGATTAGAGATCTAAATTCTGAAAGGAAAAAAAAGAAATTGTTTTCGTAAGGCTTTACGGCGCTCGTAACTGTATATTAGGTCATATGAGCGTCAAGGGGTGGATGTCGACGGAGAAGTCCAAACGGGGAATCAGGCTTAGGCCTACTCTGCTCACCTCTCTGGCCTCAACAGCACAAAGTCAGCTTTGACTATCAAGGCACCTCAGAAATAGCAGTTCACAAGAGAGTGACAAACATACTAAAGAAGTAAAAGCTTAGAGGAAAAATGACAATAGTAAGGGTGAGGAAAGAAAAGGAGGCTGTTCCCCCTACGTTGTTCCGGCACAGTACGCGACATGAGCATGACATTGAATTTTGATAAATCAACCCATTTACAATTCAACTGTGCATAAGAACATGTGAGTATCTCTCCCTCTTTTTGGGAATGGCCTATTAAAGACAATTCAGTCAGTAGCACTGCCCGGGGGGGGTAAAAAAAATAGAGACTGGACGTGTCAAGTGGTAGGCCTAGATCTAGATCTAGATGAGGGCAGACATCATTTTGATGCAAATCTGTCCGAGGTCGGTTTGATCGACAGTTACAAGGCAGTTTCGGGGGCAGGTATTGCAGTTTGCTCGGACAGAGAGCTGACGTTTCGCCCGGATGCGCGTATCTGGATCACCGGCTGATCGTGGAGAAACGCGTGGTGAAGAAAGCAAACTGCTTCAATTATTGTTCAAAGCATTTTCGTTGATCGCAGACAAGAATGGCCCCGGTGAACACGAAGTGTCAATGGGATGGAAGAACGTGTTGGGAGATCCTGTGGAACTCCTTAAGTGGTAGCTCTATTATTATTACTTCCTATGTTTTCCATGATCTGAAATTGCAAGTACTTAACAACAAACTCTTCATGCGTTTTCGAGATTGTTGTTTTGTTTGGTTTGGTTTTGGTTTGTTTTAGTATTTATTGAATGTGTAACTCTGTAATGATTGAGGGAGGACAAAAGCAGGGAGCCATGTGAATTCCCCCAAACGGCACTTGGTAATGAATCATTTGTAAGATTGAGAACCCTCTAGGAACGGCACCGGTATGTGTGTGAGTGTGTGTGTGCGCGCGCGCGTGTGTGTGTGTGTGTGTGTGTGTGTGTGTGTGTGTGTGTGTGTGTGTGTGTGTGTGTGTGTGTGATAGAGAGAGAGAGAGAGAGAGAGAGAGAGAGAGAGAGAGAGAGAGAGAGAAACAGAAAGACAGACAGACAGACAGACAGACAGACAGACAGACAGACAGACAGACAGACAGACAGACAGACAGACAGACAGACAGACAGACAGACAGACAGGGGGAGAAAGAGGGACAGAGAGAGAGTGGGGGGAGGGAGAGAGAGAGGGGGGGGGAGAAGGAGAAAGAGACAGGGAGAGAGACAGACAGACAGACAGATAGATACACAGAGTGAGGCAGATGGAGAGAGAGAGAGAGAGAGAGAGAGAGAGAGAGAGAGAGAGAGAGAGAGAGAGAGAGAGAGTGAGACAGAGACAGGCAGACAGATAGTCAGACAAATAAACAGAGCGAGAGAAAGGGGGGAGAAAGAGAGGCTGGGAGAGATAGAGACAGACAGACAGACAGACAGACAGACAAACAGACAGACAGGGAAAAAGAAGACAGAGGGACACTGGAGAACGAGTAGTTTACGTGAAAATCAAACCGATTACGCTATTAGAATGTATGTTCATTATTGCCTTTCTCAGCCTGCACCAGAGTATAGGCCACGGACAAACATCTTCCACCTTTCTCTATCCTGGGCTAGCCTCTTGATGTTTATTCCATGTCTTCCCACTTTTCTGTTCCTCGATTTCTGTGATTCTTCTCCAGGTTCCACGAAGTCTTCCCCTTGATCTCTTACCCTGTGGGTTCGAATCCAAAACTTTCTTTGTTATGCAGCTGCCTGACTTCCTGAGAGCATGTCCAATCCATCGCCACCGCCTTCTTCCTAGCTCATCTCTGACTGGGATCTGTCTTGTTTTCCTTAACACTTCCACATTGGTGACCCTGTCTGTACATCTGATCCTCAGTAACTTTCTTAGATATCTGTTAAAGAAAACCTGGATCCTCTTTATGCAAGTCTGTGATGCGTTCCATGTCTTACATCCATACAACAGGACCGACTTCACATTTGAATTGAAAATCCTCAGCTTTGTTCGAAGTGAGATATCTCTGGTCTTCCAAATCCTATCCAAAGATATGAAAGCAGCCTGTGCTTTTCCAATGCGGGACTTTATTTCAGCACCTGTCCCTCCCTCTCTGTCAATTATACTCCCAAGATAGCAGAAGGATTCAACGTTTTCTAATGCCTTTCCTTCTATTGTGACCTGCTCGTTTCGTTGTTCATTTGTCCTTAGGACCTTTGACTTTCCGGGGTGGATCCTCAATCCAACAGACTCCGATAGGCTGTTTAATACTGAAGTCTTTGCTTGCATCTGTTCCTGGGTGTGAAGCAGAAGCGCAAAGTCGTCTGCAAAATCCAGATCGTTCAACTGTGTCCATGGTGTCCACTGTATATCATTTCTGAGTCCTCTGGTGGTTTCCTTCATCAGCCAGCCAACTGCCAATATGAAGAGGAACGGTGATAATAAACATCCCTGTCTCACACCAGTCTTGAGGTTAAAGCTGTCAGTGAGCTGGCCATCATGTACAACCCTGCAACTTGACCCTTCGAACATGCTCTTGATGATGTTCACAAACTTCTGTGGGATTCCGGGGCGTCTCATTATCTGCCAAAGAGTTGCTCGGTCTATACTGTCAAAAGCTTTCTCATAGTCAAGGAAGTTGACGATCAGCTGGGAGTTCCATTCCAGGGACTGTTCCACAATAATCCCCTACGTGGCAATCTGGTCGGTGGTTGAGCGATTTTTCCGGAAACCAGCCTGTTCATCCCGAATCTTGGGTCCGTTGCGGTCTTGATTCTCTTCAGAATGATTCTGTTGAAGACCTTACCTGGTATTGAGAGAAGAGTGATCCCTTTGTAGTTGCTGCAGTTGCTGCAGTTGCTGCAGTTGCTGAGATCCCCCTTTTGGGGGAAGCTTCACGGGGTGTCCTTCTTTTGAATCCTTTGGGAACTTGCTCTCATTCCAGATCCTGGTAAACAGTGGGAGGCATCTGCTTTTAGGGCTTCAGCTGGAATCTGGTCAGGACCGGCCGCTTTACCTCTGTTCAGCTTCTTAATGGTATTCAGAATCTCTTGTTTTGAAGGAAAATCACAGCAGATTGGTAACTCATTTCTTGCTGGCAGGATGTTTGGTGGGTAACTCGGTGGTGGTCTGTTCAGGAGACTGTTGGAATGCTCTTACCCATCGTTTGGATTGAGCTTCCTTTCCAAAAATAGTTTTCACCTCTTGGTCATTTACTGGTACTTCAGGTTTCCCGTATTTTCCAGCAAGTGTCCTTGTGGTCTGGTAAAGGATTCGCATGTGCCCTCCTACCGCTGCTTCATCTGCCTTCTCTGCCAGCATGTTCATGAATTCCTCCTTGTCTTTTCTTTGTGATTTCTTGACATCTTTAGCTGTTGTCCTGTACTGCTCCAATGCATCTGCTCTTGATCCTCTTGTTCTACTTGTATTCGCTTGTGCCTTCAGCTGTCTTCTTATCCTAATTAAATCCAATGAGTGTTGGCTAATCCATTCCTTGTGATCCCATTTCTTCACACCGAGTACTTTTTTACAGGTTGAAGAAAGACTTCTTTGACCTTGGCCCAGTGTGTATCCACCTCCGTGTCCTCTCCGCCAAGATCAGCCAGAGGTTGAAATCTGTTCCTCAGCTGCAGCTGAAACTCTTCTTTCTTGTGTTCGTCCAAGAGACTTACTTGGAGCTTCGTTCTTTTGATTCCTGTGCTGGTTCCATGCTTTTTTAGTCGAAGCTTGAGTTTTGCCAACAGCAGATGATGATCTGACCCAACATCTGCCCCTCTCTGTACTTTGACATCTTCCAGTGAACGCCTGACCTACGAGAGATACAAAAATAATCTATCTGGTTCTCCGTCACTACATCTGGCGAAACCCATGTGGCCTTGTGAATCCTCTTGTGGGGAAAAACAGAGCCTCCAATGACAAAACTGTTGAAAGCACATATACAGTATTTGCGAATCGCTCACTGTTCTCATTCATTTGCCCCAAGCCATGTTGTCCCATAATTCTTTCATACCCCACGTTTTCCTGACCAATATCGACATTGGCATCTCCTATTATGATGCTGATTTCCTTCCTTGGTAGTTTGTTGACGACCCTCTGGAGCTGGCTGTAAAAGGCATCCTTGTCTTCATCCGAAGCATCATTTGTTGGGGCGTAGATTTGGACTATATTATTCATGTTGATGCTCTTGCTCCTTGTAGTGAATGAAGCCATGATGATCCTTTCCCCGTGTGGTTCCCATCCTCTAAGTGACCTCTGTGCATATTTACTCAAAATGATTCTCACTCCTTCCTCATGGTACTTGTCTTCCCTCCCAGAATACAATATACTGAGCTGCTTCTGTCCAGACTGTTTCCAGTGTGTTTCGCCGACTCCTTGTTTGTTCAGCTGGTATCTCTTCATCTCTTGTACTACTTGAGAACTCTTTCCTGCTTCATACAAGGTGCGACCATTCCACGACGCAATCCGGAGAGACTTGTTCGACAGAGAAGGTTACGGGTCAGAAGAGTCCTTTCGGCTTTGTCTCTGCCCTCCATTGTTCCAGCTGATGCAGAAGCTCCTCCGTCTCCCAAGATCGAAAAATAAAAAGCTGGGTTCGTCCATGTTTCTGTAATTTACTGTTTTTTACTGGGTTGGGTACTTGGCCCTCCGCAAACTGGCACTTTTCGGGCGACCAGGCCTTTGCACTTTTAGTCGACTCATACGACACGCAGTATCACGGCAGGTGTATTCTTTGCTCCCCCATATTAAAACTATGGGGCCCCCCATCCCCCCATCTGCAGGGGAGAGAATGTATGTTAACTTAAGCCAAAGTCTTACAGTTTATGGCCGAAGGAGGCAGGGGAGTAGCCTAAAATACATGTATGCCATAGAAATCACATGCTTCCTTCTTTGTTAAAGGCCTAGATTAGTAACCTAGTGAACTAACTACAAACGGCACATTTTCTCATGACATGACAGCATCCCTGAGCATCGCCGAAGCAGCGATTAGGCAAGTGTTTTCGTGCCCCGCGCCTGGCGATAAGCGAAACAAAGCATTGTTGTTATGGAGCGCCGCCACGAGTGACGTCTCTCTGTTACTGTAAACCCTCTCTGCTCGGACTTTGACTTCGAGTAATCTAGACCTAGAATCTAGATTCGAAGTCAAGTGAGAAAAGAAGTCATCATAAACATTCATAATCTTGTCTTAATGCATTTAGATCTGATATTATATACCACCTAATAGCAGAAGATTAAGAACACCTGCAGAATCTGGTCATGGAATGTCATCGTACAAGAGAGTGACAACATGGGCTTAAGCCTAAATGTCAAGAAAAACGAAACAATGTTGATAAGCAGAAAAACTCCAACCCCAACATGCAATATCAAAATCAATGATACCACCCTCAAGCAAGCACAACATTTTAAATATTTGGGGACCATTATATCATCAGATGGTAGACCTAGATCTAGATCTAGATGTCACACCGAAATTAAAAGCCGCATTTGCCAAGCAAAAGCAACCTTCCACAAGATGAAACAGATACTAACAAACATCAATCTGTCACTGGAAACGTGAAAAGGAGTACTGAAAAGTTACATTGAGCCAATCCTATCATACGGGTGGAAGCGTGGAGAACCAATAAACAGCTGGAAAGAACAATTATGGCGACAGAGCTGTGGTTCATAAGACTCATGCTACGTATCCCATAGAGAGATAGAAAAACAAATGAAGAAGTCTTGGTTGAAGCAAATTATAGAAGACAGCTTATGACGCATATAAGAAAGCGACAGGCAAATTTTTTCGGACGCACAATGCGGAAAGAAGCATTGGAGAATATTGTAACAACAGGCAAGTTTGATGGATGGGAAGAGAGGCAGAGGCAGACAGAGGGAAAAGATACTGGACAAGATGACAACATGGCTAGGAGCAGCAAGAACAACAGACACCATTGCTGTAACGCAAGACAGAGTGAAGTGGAGGTCCATGATCGCCCACGCCAGTCGGCAAGGCACCGGATGATGATGATTATATATCAAAGCATAACTGCATATATCTAGATCTAGATCTAGTAATTTCCATAATAAATTGGCTTACTTCCACATGTGGGAGTCAGTATTAACCAAAAGAGCACAATTATAAACGAGTGGGGCCTTCCCATTTCGTCTGCTACGCTAGCAAAAGTGACCACAGTGGCTGTCGTAGGCTAGGCCCGAGGCCGAAGTAGATTAGTAGGCCTAGGCTAGGCTAGGCTAAGAGGGCAAGTTCAAGTGATGAGCAATGAGCGCGATGACAATACGGTAACTGAATTGCCAGATTTACTTCCGGTGCTGAAAAACGTATTTTCTAACCCTTGTCAAAGTTTTTTTTCCACGTCAAGTTTGTATTTATCTTACCGAGTTCAGATTGATAATAAAATGTGGAAAAAGAATAGTGGGATTTTTTTGGTCGTCTGCTAAAAAAATGAACTTTCATTTAGTTAGAGCATACAGTTATCTCCTTTTTATGAGTTGTAGTCTTCCGGAGTCAGCTTGCCAATACCCTATTGGTCAGACTGCTGCGCGCACTCGTCTAGGCTATCTTATGTTCATAACGCGCACGCGAGCATAGCCTATAAGCTAGCTTATGTGCACACACATACACACACACACGCGTGCACACACACACACGCACGCACGCACACACACATGCAAACGCACACGCATACGCATACACACACGCACACAAGCGCATACAAACACAAACACGCACACACTCGTTCACAAACAGGGAGACCTAATATACACCCCTGCCCGCAAGCATTGTATACTGATTAATTATTGACTCTTGAGGATACAGAAAACACATAAATAATATGCAGCTTAATAAGGACAAGTTCAAATTTCTTTCTTAAACTGGTAATGTACATTATCGAAATTAATAAAAACAATTAACAAATAAATTAAAAGAAAGCTTACACGTACTGTGCTCTGAACTATTTTTGTGTTATCTCCCTCGACACATGAGCACGCTGACATAGCAAAGATAATATATGACTATTATTTAAGATTTTCACGAAATAAAATAACGCTACACCTAAATAACAATACAAGCCTGTCATAATGTTGTGTTGTGCCCCCCCCCCCACCCCCACCCCACCCCCCACCCCCACCCCCCACCCCCACACACACACATAAACTGTTCCTTCCCAAAGAACTTTGAACACTTGTAAAAACACATTCAACCTCTTAAAAATGCTACTTTTCAATAAATTGTTTTCATGTTTGTTTTAATTTATCACATTATAATAATATTTTATAATACATGTACATTAATTATAGACCTACGTTTCTTTTAAACTTTTTTTACTTGACGATGAACGGGTCGTACGGAGCAGCAGCCATAATTTATGCAGAGGTTAAAGGTGTGGCTCGTCACAAGTGCAGCGTTTATTTACATCAGTGTGCGTCGTATGTGATACAGCTGATCGTGTTGGATGAGGCACAGAAGGAAGGCTGCAACGCAATCGAACAGACGGAGACAGCAAACGTTGCCCGCCACAGCAATACGATTCTGTAACAGGTTTGTGATTTCTTTTTTGCCCGTAATTGTTGTTGTTTTTTAATAGGAGACAGAAACAATTTTCATAAAGTTTATATATATTATATTAGACTATAATATGTCGAAATGTTGTTCAACAGTGTTCTTTACTCATGCGTGCGCAGCGCACAAGGGAAGCACAATTGTGTGAGTCGTCCGTGAGTGATCGAGAATGACTTCATTGTCATTGTGTAGGTCACTTCACTTTTGCTCACTGACACATAGATCTATATCCAGATTCTAGATCTAGATCTAGATCTAGGCCTACACAAATGTACACTAAGACGGTCGATCAAGTACGGTTCAATATCTTTATCGGGAGAAGAAGGAGTAACTAATACCCTCTCGCCCCACTTCTTTGTTTGGCAAATTGCTTGAATGGTGAGGTGAATAATAGAATAAAAGATATAAGGGGGGGTGAAAGTGAAGGGTGAGTAATGAAAGGTTAAAAATATCTTGTTCCACAAGTCACAGTGAGCTGAACAATTCAAGTTACAATATTTTTGTTCCTAAACTAATATCGCTGACCATGAATTACGTCATGTCTCTCAAAAAAAGTCAGGGCCCCTAGACCCTAGACTCACTCTCTCATCACGATGCCTCAGCACCACATGCCATGAAATGTAGAAGTAACTAGAAGACACATCTTTCTGATTGGCTGCTAATTTTAGTAATGTGATGTCATCACTTTTTGGATACCCACAGACTATTTTAAGAAGGCCTTGGAGGTACCGCATGGAATGACGTGTTTTCTGTAAAATTTCAAATTATCTAGATCTAGATCTAGATCTAGTACTTTGGACATGATGGAAGATCGCTTAGATCTCATAGCTGACACTTTTCCGCTATATAGCAGAAACTCCGCTTCATCTAGCTTTTCCCACTACTTTCCTCCATCCTCCAATGGACCGCTCTCGGTCGCAAATTGCGAAACTTTTTTTTTTAACTCGCGGAGCACACCGAATCGGGAGAGAGACGAAAACGCTGCTTACCCAGGTCCACACGTAGCTTTCTACACTTATCCATTTTTCTGTGCCTGGCAATAGTTTCACATTGTTTATTATGGAGTGACAGTGTCGATTGAGCATCGGGACGATGGCACGCCAAGTTGTCCTTGAAAACAGCAGAAATTCGAGAGAGATTGATGCTGAATTGAATGCAAAAATAAAAGAAGCTGAAATGAAAAAGAAGCAGATGGTGTGTGACTTGAAAAGTTCATTAGAAAATTGAACAAGCCGCTTGCTGCACTTTGCGTTTGGTGCGATAAAGAAATCGCTCAGTACAGTGGCAAAGGTGTTGCCTCCTGGATCCAATACTGCTCTACATCGATGCATAAGTTTAAAGTGAAAGAAACCTTTGTATGAGAGACCAGCTGGCAACAAAGACTGGATTTTTAGTCACCAAACTGTGTCAAATCGTGCTTGTTAGTCTACTTAGTGTCTTGGGGGGGGGGGTTGATTGTTTGGGTTTTTTCAAATACATTTAAATTCAGTAGCCTATGGTTAACAAATATGACAGTTTTCCCTTCCAAAACCATAGGCTAGATGTTCCAATATATTGTCTCTGGATCTCACTGGTTTTACTCCGACCTTCGGAAAGAGCTTGTACGCCTTCGCGTGAATTTCCTCCTTTTTTGTATTTCCTGAGTGCCAGCTATGAGATCTAGATTGTTGATGCTCAGAACAGTAAGATTAAGAACACTGATGCTTGAAATTGAAGCATGGTTAATGCAAAGACAATAAACCACTCGACAATTGCCGTAAAGACGCTGGAGGATTAGATCTAGATCTACACCCCCCCC